TTACATATGATTTATGAAAATCATTACATTTTCGATCAAAAACTATTTTTTATACAATTCTATTGTTCAGCATATTGATGCGCATTTGATGTACGATATTTTGGCACAGGTAAACAGACGATGCGCAAATGATGTACGGCCCTTTCAAATATCATTATCGTCCGGATTTAAATTCAAAGGATATTTTTTAGGGGATGCTCTAAAATAGTGCATTTCAATAGACGATAATGATATTTGAAAGATACTCTAGTAAATTGAATGCAGGTATATAATATTGAAATGTTTACATACTCTCTGTACATTTTTACATAATTTGTCTGGCCATTCTAATTTTTGTGGCCATTCCCTAATGAATAAGTAATCAGCTTCACACATCAACGCGCTTTTAACAGCTAAATAACTATATAATATAGGGCACATTTTAATTTAGTGATAGTAATAATTTAATCTTTATTATTTAAGTTACTATTACCCACAATTGCGGCCCATAACTTCCATTATAAATGTTCTCTGATGAGAAAATGCCGTGCTTACAATAGAATCTATTGCTTCAAGTATTCGGTGAAGTGCTGTGTCAGCACCAATGGTCATATCAGTCCCACTAAAATCGTTGTCAATTGACCCAACAATGCCAACCAAATTTAAATGGCCAAATTTTTTTGCAGTTTCTTCATCTATCTCCTCTAAAAAAATATTTAAAAGTTTGTTACCAAAGCTCAAGAGAAATAAACAATAATTACGGCATTTTAAAAGTTCGTCAATATGGATTGGCCACTCTTCACGAAAAATATTAGCACCAGTCAAGGATCCGTCTCCACCTATTACCACTAAGTTAGAAATACCAAATGATATCATATTTTTGGTCGCTTTCCTTCTGCCTTCTTTAGTCATAAACGATTTACACCGTTTTGTGCCGATAATAGTACCACCCTTAAGTTTAAAATATTTTTAAGCACCTAATCAAAAAAACGACCTCTTAAAACCATACCAAACTTAGAGTGAAAGATACGTCGTACCAATTTGCTTTTGTTATGTAATCATTGCCTTCAATAAGTCCATGATATCCCTCTTTGACAAAATAAATGGTAACACCTAATTGAATTGACACTCTAACAACAGATCTTACAGCCGCATTCATTCCTGAAAAATTACATTGAAGTGCCATGTGTATCGATAGATATCACGACTACAAAATTTTTCACTATATCGAATTATTACCTTGCGAGTCTCCCCCGCTGGTCAAAACTGCGAATGTAATATTTGAATTTTTTTCCCGTGGAAACCTCTTTAAAATCGATTTAAAATCATAAGAAGCCCTAAACAATTTAATCAAGTTTCAGTTATATACTAAATTGATAAATAACATAACAATTAAAGTTAAAATACTCACATTTTAATGAATTTTTCAATAAAATATTTTAAAAATACATAAAATACGTAATAATTAATAAATATAATAAACTATGTAGGTATGTAATAAATATTTTGTTTGTTTTAAAGTGTAACGTAGTAAACATTGAAATGACCGACTTCTACTATCTTGTTTTCTATAACTTATGTTTTTCCAAAGACTTAAAAATGTTGGTGCAAGGATAATTTATTATTACTTACCTACCTATTAATTAGTTGTAGGGTTCTTTTAGTACTTGCCTCACAATATGATTGCAATAAAGTGCTTAGTTAATATTAAATATATTATAGTATATTTAATAAAAAACTTATCTTTCTTACACGACATTATCACTACAAATAATTTTTAGCAACCATTTTACAGATATAACTGTAGGCATGTTTTGATGATTTGTTTATAGATTCATATATTTTTGTTATGCCAAATTTATTTAGGTAAGTAAACCTACCCATTATCTTTCTTTAGGATTTTTAAAATACAGTTTTTTTTATCAACTCATTAATATAAAACTGAAATATATTTTTTTTAAATTATTACGTACCTATTCAAAAAACATTATTTAATTGTGCAAGTTTAAACATTTCTTTAGTACATTTAAACTCTTGGAACAGTCTGTGATTGATAGTTTTAAATTTGTTACAATATTATCTATCTAACATATCATGCATGAAAGTCTACGCAGGGCCATTATTTAAAGTATCTACCTAAGATCCACTTATATTTCCTGTTATTTATATTATATTCACATTTAAAAGTCACCATCAGTCCTCTCTTTGTCTCTATAATTTCTTTATAGAGACTGCCCTCTTTAAAATACTAGGTATAGAAGAATAAAATACAAGAATTCAAAATGGGATACAAAGAGAATAAGTGTTAAAGAGGTAGTAGAGAAACTGATTGTAATGGTAGGTACGACTGATTATATGAGAATGGAATTTAAAACTCGTCCGATTTGAGAGTTCGATAAACAGTCACAAATGTATGAAGAGACAGCAGGGATACAATTAATGGTGGTTGTGGTGTGGAGTTTATATGTAGGTATAGTAAATATAGTATACAAAACAAACTATAGACTATAGACTACAGGTATTCAAGTATGTTAAAGTGTTAAGGATCGGTGATATCATTTGGTGGTTTATTTTCTGCGTGAATTGATTTTAATACAGGTGATGTCTTGAAATTTTTTCTAAGCAACACTGCAATGCATTGTTTTCGTTCAACCCTTATTTGATTGTCTTAAGAGGACGCTACACCCGCGTGTGTTGTCTCAGTCTTACAAACGTAGAACATAACAAAAAGCTACAGTCATAATTAAGAAACGAAATTTTTACCACGTAAAAAGGAGAACTTTGGGTGTGCAATATCGTTTTTATTTTTTCGATATCACTTATATGAAAAAAGTTCTTATTGTTCCAAAATACATTTGTTTTTGTATTTTTCAAACTTGAATAACTTTTTTTGTACTTCCGATATCGAGAAAATAAAAACGATATTGCACAGCCAAAGTTCTCCTTTTTATGTGGTGAAAATTTCGTTTCTTAATTATGACTGTAGCTTTCTCGGTTCTTTCCCGCGCAAAATATGTTTTTGCTATGTTCTACGTTTGTAAGACGGAGACAACACATTCGGGTGTAGCGTCCTCTTAATGCAAGTCTAGATAATTGCTCCAAAATAATTAAAATATTTTGAAAATATTGCAATGTGCATACAATGCACTCATAGAAAATCATAATATAAACATTTAGTGAAAATTAGTATGATCAAGCTATGATTATATATTTTTAATTACAACAAAATAACAACATAGATTTTGTCGAATCTTAACTTCAGTTATACATCAATATTCAACACCAGTCACCAGCATACGTTTTTATTATATCTTGAGGAAAACTTTATTTTGGTGTCACACCATTAACTATTTTAATAATTTCTAAATCTGTTCAAGAACACAAGGATGTCTAATTACAAATATCAAAAAAAACATCAACACTTTTGCAAATAATTAGTTAACTTATTATGCTACATTTTTTTAGACATATAGAAAAGAAATAATAAGTATTTGAAAATTTGAAATGCATAAATTTGGTACATATTATGTGTACAGTATGTACAATGAACAAAAGTTGAGTAGGTTTTTCAAAATATGTTTTATTATCATTTCACGACACATATAATACAAATTCAAAACAATTAGTTGCGTGTTCAATTATGTTTGTTCAAAACTTTTAATACCATTTTTTTTAAATTTAATATTAATTATTATTAGTTCTTGGGGAGCTTCGATTTTGAAATATTGTCCAACAGTCAGACAACATATATTTTCAGCTTCACAATTTCACCAATCATAAAAATTCCGTAATATAACCTATATAATACATCATACCTATTATAATATTTATCTAGGTTAATGATTGCAGACTGATACGTTCTGTGCCGTTAACTGTCAAGCAAAAAACTATAAATTATTATAGTTAAAGATTTTGTTTATAGTTAGATGAACAGTAGGATAAACACAGTATATATATTTATTTATTAGCAATTTATTAAATCATAAAAGTTGGTATTTTAATAACAGCGCATTAGTGCATCGAAACAAATGTTACTGCTCTATAACGACGGACCGCGAAAATTTGTAACACGTATATAATACTAGTGTATAGGTATTTCCTAGACTGTACTACTTATCATAGTATTATATCGTATTATTAAGTACATCAAACAGTGAAAATGCAGTCAAAAATCATCATACATACCACATCCGTCGTTAATATCCAAAAGATCTTGGATTTACTGATTCAGTTCCACTCGGTCGACGGTCTCGAACGATTTAACACATACAACCTTAGGCGTTAAAAATCTGGGCATACTAGATATATCAATTTAACATATTGTATTAACATAGTTTATTATATTTACAAGGTTATTATTATTTGGGGGAAACCTAAATGCCTAAGCCATCTAATTCCTCCCTCCCCCCCCCCACACACCACAATTAAACCTATGGTTATAACTTATAACAGCCACTGAGCCGCAACATACACGACTTTTAACCCAAATTTTCTACACAAATCGGCGAACCCACCGTCTACAATAGTCAATAAGTACCTAAAGTACGATTATAGTTTAATCTCTTTAGTACTATTATAACCGAAATCTTCGAATATCTACCGTTCGTTGACATCCATAATGTGATTTTCCTATTTGTTTCCACTCGGTTGACCTACTCAAACATCTCAAACAGAGATCGTGTACAAACTACCTACATTTTCTACACTAATCGCATACGCATTTCAAAAAAAAAAAACAACTAGGTCTGTAGCCAAAACACGTCTGTGAGAGTGAGAAACAGTCGGTCGGCGACCGCATGACCGTATTCATACCACTCAAGCGACCGCGTCATCCGGATCACCCGCACAAGAACGTTACACGGATACCCAACTTTTAGAGAACATTTATTAGGTACCTACTACCTACTTACAAGAATAAATTCGAAACCGCAGCGAAAAAAGGCCAAAGAAGACTTAAAAACTTGCTACCTATTTGACTTGAAAACGTAATTATTATTTGTAGACCCAACCTACCATTTCGATCAATACCGGTGACCCCCATCGGCTTCATAAGTTTTTTGTTGTGGTGCCCGACGGCGGACGGGAGGGTAGTAGTTTGTGTACATCTTGCCATTTTGGTCAAACAGTATCATTGGGGACTCTTCGTCTTTTGAGAGACGAAAGTTGGACAGTCTCATGGCACATGACGACATCGATGAAGTCTTCAATTTGTTATCGGACAACGGAGAAATGCTCATGGAACTATCGGCCAGCAAAATTTGTGACGAATCATACAAGACCCTACTCATATCTTTGTTGTCGAAAGAAGGATACGGTCGCTGTTCAGATGGCAGAATTACAGCTTGGCTGTCAGACGACGGTTGAGATAACGATTCGGACAACAGTGGCGATAACGGGTCGGACAACGGTGGCGATAACGGGTCGGACAGCGGTGGCGATAACGGACCAGACGACCAAATCCTGTCTTTACCATTGTCGCTATAGGACGACCACGAAATTCGATTGCGGTTGGTCGTCGGTAACAACAGTACAGAAGTGGAAGAAATCCAGTCACGTCTGTATGATGAATGCAGTCGCATTGCGGGAAACGTCCAAAGACTGCTGTACGAAGCCGATGGTTGAGCCGTGGACCGCACGCCGCCGTCCAGGTTGGGCATAGCTAGAAATAACGAAGAGTATCATTTTATTTTAAATCATAGGTACTTATTATGATGTTACAACATTGATATTTTAAGTATAAAAGGAACATAAAGATGTATATAAACATCACACCATTTGTTTTCTCCCTCTAGTCTATCTAACCCACCACGACATGGAAAATATTCGTTCGGCAGACGGGTTTACTGCTAATAGTGAATTTAACTATTAAATAACGTATGCAGTTGGAACACTACCTATCTGTGTTGTGAGTGGAGAGTAGGTATGTAAGATGTTCCAATTTAAAAATGCTCATGTCTTGATTTAAAATTGAGTTATTGGAAAAAATTCAAAGTAAAAACACAGATAGGTAATGTTCTGAACTTTAAGTTTGATATTAGATCAATTCAAACTAATAATCAAGCTTAATGCACAACGTAGGTTTTGCACTTCTGCTGAACACAAATTGGCCATGCTGCACATATTTAAGATTTAGTAAAAAAAAACAAATGATGCTCTTAGTATCAATATATGACTAGTTAACTCGAACAATTGACAATTGTCATTTAATATACTAGTTCTATACATACGTCTTGGTGTGGGGAAACCATCCAATCGCCCTTGTAACGAACACAAAAAACCAAAAACAAAAATATCTGTGGTTTTCAACATTTTTTTCCTGGATTATTGAGCGCCGATTCAATTGACTTGTATTGAATAATTCAAAATAATTTCAAACAAGTGTTTAACGATCATAATAACAAACAATTTTTGTTTCCTCGACAACTCAGAAATTAAATTACTTATAATAAATGAAAATAAAATATATAAACTGTTGGCTATTTCTTATTTATTTTAAATTTAAATGTTTGGGTTGAACACTGGGAAGAGGCTAGAGCAAGGATCGGCATGCAATAGGCAGCAAGCGATCCAAGTCCGGCGTAGGGGAAATAACTGAACCGCCAAAAATAATTCAATAATTTTGGTTTTGCGAACATTTTAGAATGTAGATGTCTGATCTATTTTTAAGATGTATTTGGAGATTACGATAGCGTCCATCGTTCATCAGCCTCTAGAATCTAGAGCATATTCGATATTGATATTTAATGCTCCTCCGACGTTTTATTACTACAGACTATAATTAACTACCGCTTAAACAACTATAGTAACTTTAGTGTACTAGTATCGTTTAATTAATTTTTTTTTTTTTGGCTGTCGAGGAGGTGGTAGTTGTGCAGTGTCGTCATTTCAGTTTTCAATTGAGGGGGCAAGGGTTTTAACAGACCCAAATGAATAAAAAGTAACCGCTTACTCGCACTTTCACAAAAAATTACCATTCCCACATCATTTATTTTATAATTTAAATATTTTTAGTTTCTGAGCGGAGCGATGAATGCTTTGATTTTACTATGATATGTGTTTTTTTGTGTCTGTCATCAAGGTTCTAGGCAGTAAAAGTGCTTCGATTTTCTTCGAAAGCAATTTTTCTGGTAGGAAAGTGAATTTAGTTGATACTTGGTCGAATGTAAAAAAATCTCAATGGTTTTCAAAAACAACGGAAAAAACAAACAAAAAATTAAGGAAAACGTGGATTTTACGGAAACCAGATTTTTGAAAAAATCGATTTTGGTTTTTATATACCTAACTATAAAAAAAAAATATCGTAGATACAAAATATTTAAAAGTTTCGAAATATTTTGAATCGTGTTGAACTATTTAGTATTTACAGGCATAATGAAATTTTCGATCATTATTTGTTTTTTTAAACTCAAGTCGATAAAAAATTTTCATTCTGTCAAATAACTTGAAAATGTAATACAAGGTTCCTCATAAGTTGTTGTTAAAGTGAAATTTAAAAAAAGTTGAGGATCTATTCACAATAATTTTTTATGAGCGTTTGAATTTAGAATTTTGACAAAATTCATAAGATCATGAAAATTAGTAAATTATTTTGAGTTGGAAATTCATAACAATTGTTCTTGTTATATCTTAGATGTAAAAATTGAATACAAGATTCCTTATAAGTTTGTCCTTTATCAAAAAAAAAAAATTTCTTCTGGAATGTCAAATTAAATTTCTATGTGCGTTTGAAGTTGACAGTTTTACAACATTGGATAACTCGATTTCTCATTTAGTGATTTTCTTATTTTGTTGCAATTCAAAAACGAATAACTGTAAACACTCGAAATCTACACTATATGTTTATTTCATCAATTCGTATACTTGATAAAATTTACAAAGTATTTCAAACTTGTTCTAAGCTGTTGACGGACATTCTTGATTTTCATTTTCTTTGTTTTTTTTTTCTATAAATGTCAATAAAATTGTATTGGTTTGTGTCAAAAAGCTTAAAAATTTAATACAAGACTCTTAATATATTGTTTCAATTGCAGTTGAAAACTATTAAAAATACATAGGCACGTTTTTGTTTTATAATCATTCAAAGTTCAAATTTTGACAAACAGCCCAATTTCACTCAAGTAAATATAATATTTTTCCAACATAATTGATAATTTAAGAATAAAATAATGAATAATATTAATTCTACTTACCGGCTACCGTATTAATAATAAAAAATTACATTATAAAATATCCACTAATATACCATCTCCGCTCAGAATCATTTTTCGTATACAATGATATTATATTATTATCATTGAATTTGAATTTAATACCTACCATCCATTGACCATTAGGACAGCGACCTTTTACTTTCTAGACACCTAATTTACAGCAGAAAGACATCCACTTACGACTTACCCACTTTTTCTTTTATTGTTACAACTCTTTTCGCTATGTAACAACATCATTTGCAAATATAATGTAGCAGAGATGTTATAAAAATGCCTTGGTATACACCTATACCAATTAAAACTCTGTCAACTATTATATGACTAAATGATATATTCACAAATTAATATAATTTTTAAGTTTTTATAGCTTACTTAGTTACTAACTGGTTCAAGTTTCGTTTGTTTATTAAACATATCAGAAATTGTTTTCGATCCTTCAGATATTTGCAGTAATTTTATTTTGTTAGCAAGTCGATTTTTAGCAGCACCATCCATTTCTTTTTTATTAAGGCAAACTTTGTCTATTTTCAAAAATTAATGTGAAAATATAATGTTTCGAAAAAATTTGATTTTAATAAAGGTAGAATAAGATATTCAACTAAATTAACAAAATGCAGAATAGCTTACAAGTTAATAATACACGAGTGTCGCAACTTAACGGTCTTTGAAGTCTGAGATCAATGATGATGACATTGAACGAGTGTCAATCGGTTGATGTTTTTAGAATTTGTATTAATTTTCAATTGTATAAATTAAACTATACCTACGGGATTATGACATTATCTATTATTATTTCTGAGCATACGACAATATTATGTTATTTTCCTTCACAAGACACACACACACACACACACACACACACACAAACATTGAAAATTACAAACACATATACATACAATATGCACGTTCCCACATGTGTCTAAATATAAATGGTATATTATCACTATCAATTTATTATTAATTTAAAGTGTATCATTGTGATAATAATTTCTTATTACATATACTGTTTTATATTTTCTGAAAATATTATAAGAATGAGGCATGTTCTTGTGCTAATAAAAATATAATTATGAACGGCAACAAGCAGACACCGGCACCGGGTAACCTTACCTTACTTCACCTAACAATATCAATGATTATTTTTAGTAGTCACATTTTATTAATTTAGGTATTCTATTGTTAGATCTAAAACTCTGGAATACAAGTAGTAAAAAATTATATTCAAAAATCAAGTTTACTTTCTTTAGCATTAATATATATCAATAGCTTTATCAATATTTGTATCTATTGTTATGTTTTAAGCAAATTCAATACAAATAACTTAATAGTTAACACTAATACACCACAAGGAAGAAGTCCCAAAAACTGACTAAGATTAATATACAAGCTGCAATAGGAATAGGTACTAAGTTTAAAAAAATTAATTAAAGTTTATACATAAATATGTAAATTGTAAATATACAACGAATACAATTAATTACAATCAGCTAGTGTTTCGTCTAAAATGTTGTTGTTCCAAACAAATAAGAACACCGATAGCCTGATAACTTAAGTTAGAATGTTTATGAGTTTATGACCTTTGCAATTTTTTTCTTTTGATTCTACACAATGTTATCTTAACTAAAAATTTGTTTCATGCTATCTTGATGCAGAATATTCTAATTATATTTTGCATTTTTATGCATTTTTTTTGTTTTTTAACGTAATTTTTGGTAGTTTTTGCATAATGCGTGGGGCAATTTTCTCAAATTTCAGATTTTAAAACATTTATTAACTGATTGACGTTGTCAACTTTAGTTTGAAAACATCAGACACATTTAAATACATTTTAATTATACAGTGCGAAAAAATAATATGAATATTAACGAGAATATTTTTAATACTATTTTTTCTATTAATATTTTACTTTTTAATTTATTTTTAGTAATTTTATATAATGCTTAAAATGTAAATGTACACTATTGTTTATTAAAATTATAATTCATATTTTAAATTACTATTACACCCATTATTACACCCATATCTCTAATAACAATTATTATTTATAAATGCATTTTTTCACTTATTTAATTCAATTTTTTAAGTGTTTAGGGCATTTTGCATTTTTGTTAGGGCATTTTTGATTTTTTATGTGTTTTTAGGTCATCAACATCCTAACACTACTGATAACCTATATTTAGTATACTACTGTGATATAAATCGATAATATACATTGTGAATTTGATATTTAAGTTTAAAAATAAATAAATAAATAAATAAAATGATATCGCTTATTAAATAAAACTAAAAAACGCGGGTAAGTGGATGTTGGTCTACTGTACAGTAGGTAACAAGTTGGCCACAGTAATGGATGGAGTTAAATTTGAATTAAATGATATAAAAACCATTGTGTACAAAAAAAAATTCTGAGCCCATCGTCTGTCACTCTTATATATTACTCACTAATTTAGTATAGGTATTTGATGATAATATTGTGATTAAAGTAAATTTTTAACTAGCAAGCATTAGTTCTACGCAGTACATTAAATTCATTTTTGCCAAAAAAATACATTTGAGAAGTCATTGTATGTAAAAAATATACTAATATACTTTAAAAGTTTCGAGAATCCACAAATAATATTTTAATTAACAACAAAATAACATAAATCATTATTATTGGTTATTTAAATGTAACTTTTTCTACATTTGAACATAAAAAAACTAAAAAAAAATAATGTGCTAATATATTTTTAGATTTTTTGGTAACAGAATAACCTACTTTATTTGTTGTACATTGTCAATCCTTAGGTATAAAATTATTTGTAAATTTTGAATGACGTAAATTGTGCAAAAATTTGAACTTTAAATGCTTGTAAAAAAAAAAACTGTGCCTATGTATTTTTAATATTTTTTAATAGATATTGAAAATCTATTACATTTTGTTGAAAGTAGTAAAAGAAAAATTTCAACTACAATCATAAAAATTTATTTTGAATTTCCCGTGGAATTTTTTTTTTGTTTAAGTTCGAAAAACTTGTAGGGAATCTTGCATTAATTTTTTAAATCTTAGATATGAAAAGAAAATTTTTTATGAATGTCCAACTCAAAATAATTTGCAAATTTTCGTGATTTTAAGAATTTTGTTAACATTTTTAATTCAACTGCTCACAAAATATTATTGTAGACTTACACTCAACTTTTTTTAATTTCCACTAATCGAAACTTACGAGGAACTTTGTATAACATTTTCAAGTTTTTTGATAGAGCAAACATTTTTTTATCGACATTAGTTTAAAAAAAAAAATTAATAATCAAAAAATTCATATGCCTATAAATAGCTCAATATGATTAAACATATTTATAAACTTTTAAAGTGTATAGACAAAGTGGATAAAAACATTCAGTGAACATTTCATGAACCTACGATATATTTTTTTAGAGTTAGGAACATAGTTTAACCAGTTTTAAGCCCGATTAATTAAATGTAATAACTTATAAGCTACCTACTCACAAATTTGTTCTATTTAATCATCTTTAATGTCATTAATTATTTTAATATATTTTATTAAATTTGTCTTCCTATTACTTAACTCATTTCTACAAGTATTCATCAAATTAATAATTAATAAAATTATGATTAAATATGTAATAATATAATTAATTAGGCCATACACTAACATGTTGTGCAAGCTTCAACTATAGTTGATTGTGTTCCATCAAATTTAAAAACAAGATTTTATTATTCGTGGATTTTTTTTATTTTTATTTTGTTTTTTATTATTTATTTCGATACTAAGATTCGAATATTTATACTCTTTATAAACTTTGTGATTGTGTAATGCAAATAACAAAAACCATAACCATATATTTTAAAAACAAATGTAATTTTTGGTTTGCAAAGTTCACATTCTCACAATATATAAATAGTTGAAAATTACTGTTTTTTCTTGATTTAACAATTTGTTTCATTTTTACAATTTGATAATAGTTTACATATATGATATTTCAAATTATTCAAATTCATAAATTGTATACATTAAAAAATAACTTCAGGAAATTTGTTAAGAAACTAATCAAATTAATTAACATATATAACAGAATTACAAATACTAATAACAGTCTCGAATATTATTTATCTGCAATTACAGGATTTTCCATTTTACCAATACATGATATTTCACTTTCAATGATATCTCCAACCTAAAAACATGTTAAAACAATATTATTTTTATGAATGCGATATTTATTGTTATTGTAAAATTATTTAAGATAAGTCATACTTTCAAGAATTCTTTTGGCTCTCGAAATACACCCACTCCACTAGGTGTTCCAGTAAGAATGATGTCTCCTGGCAATAATGTGATCAAACTAAAAATGTTTGGGTTTTAGTAGTGTTGGTCAATAACATATTTTTAAATATGAATATTGTTTAAATTTTCTAATACTTAAAAATATAAAAAAATTCTAATATATTTTCTGATATTGCAAAATACAATTTAATGAAGGGAGGACGGGGTGGCCGAGGGGTCTAAGCCTCGGTAGCGGCGCAGCCGTCGCCGGTTCGATTCTCGGCCACTGGGCGGCATTTTTCTTCAGCCGAGTCACGGCGGATGTTGAGAATTGCCGCCATCCCACCACACGGGCATGGCAGTACCTACGGGTGCCCACTTAAAAAAAAAAATTCTGCCAAACACAAACACGTGTGTTCCCCCTACCGTGCCAAAAAAAAAAACCTACAATACAAACCTACAATACCTACTACAGCTAATGGCCACAGTTGCCGGGCTTAAGATCAATAAAAAAAAAATTTAATGAAGATATTTTTTTGTCATTTCAAAAACATTATTCAGGTATCAGTATTTAAAAAATCTCAAAAATATTTATGAATGTATCCCTTAAAACATATTGAGTACCCCCAAGGGGTACGAGTACCACAGTTTGAGAATCCCTGACTTAGAAGATCTCTGTACCAGATTCCTTTAAAACGCATAGGTGGGTTTCCTGGTATTGTGTAAGTGGCTAAGCTAGATATAAGAAGGTTAGAGTGAGAAGGCAGTTTGTTGAAATTTTTTTAGCTTCTTCATGAATAGTTTTTATTTTTAAGTCAGAGTGGAGAGTAAAATTATAAGTATACGGTGGGATATTGGTGACGAAGAGTATAATTTTGTTTTGAACAGTTTGTATTTTGTTAAGATTGGATTTTTTGGCATTGCTCCAAAGTTGGAGGTCATAAGTCCACATAGGCTTAACTGAGGATTTGTAAATGAGTAATTTGATATTTAATTTAGCATGTTTATTAGATAAAAATATTATAAGCAACCGAAGAGGCCCATTTAAGGAAAGTTTTTTTCTGTGGCGTGTAGAGCCCAGGTGAGGCGCCGGTCAATGATTAGTCTAGTGTACTAAACTGATTGAGATAAAAGTATAGCTAGGCAGTTTTTATGAAACTGAAATATAATGTATTTACAATAAAAATTATCATACTATGTTCTTACTTTGACAAAAATGAAACTAGTTTATCAACTCGGTGAATGAGTTCTTCAGTTGAACCACTTTGTTTCAAGACACCGTTAATTGAACATTTTATTTGTAGTGAATGTGGATCAGGAATTTCATTTTTGTGCACCAAAACTGATCCCAAAGGACAAAATGTATCCATACTTTTAGCTATAAAATTAATTAAGGATTTAAAATTTGATAAATATTAGTACAATAGATCTTTTATACCCAAAGCTGGGAAAGTTAGGCATTTACTTCAACTAGTTAAAGTTAAGTTACTTAAATAGAAAAACTAACCAAGTTCGAATAGAAGTTAATTTCTGAAATTTTACTAATGTCTAGCTTAGTTAGTTATATGCTAGTTCTGTGAAAATAGAAACTTAAGTTTGAGTAGAAATTAGAAGTTAGTTTTTTTTATAGTTAAAAATAAAAATTTAAAAAGTTTGTTCAAAATATGCTAAGAATTAGATAAATAAATTAATAACTTAAATGTTATTGTTGACGATAGAAAAATTAAATTGAACTGATAATTTGATTAAATATTTCAAGAAGATAGGTAATAAGTAATTAATAACACCTTAATTTCTTAGAAACAATATTGGAATATTTGTCATTAGAACACAGAAAGTATAGCAAAAAAATAAATATAAATACTAGTATAACTATAAGTGCTGTAGTTAACGTGAATGACAAGAACTATAACAAATATAAAATATAAATAATATGAGATGAAAAATGTTTTTATCCTACAGTTGAAAATACTCAATATTCATTATTCAGAGGATGTTATACCCGCATATGTTGTCTCCATCTTACAAGAGCGTAACATATCAAATTTTACGTTCAGCAGATCATGTTTAGCTTAGTTAGCCTAAAAATTAGAGTGAATAACCTCTTATTAAAATTAAAGGTAAGATTATTATGGAGTGCTTCTCATGGGCTTTTTATTATATTTTAATTTTAAAGGGAATTATGAGTATTTAAAAATTGTAAATTGTTTGTACAACTATAATAATCACGACTATAAATACTAAGATACTTATAGTCGGCACTCAGCAGTTTTATGGGACATTTGGATTTTTGGAATGAAAATAAAAACTACAAAAGTAGTTGGTTCCATATTGTTTTTAACAAGGTAAATTAGATTATTTTGCACATTAAATTCAACTCGTTACTTTACAATGTTATCATAAATTAAAACTAACTAGTTAAATCAGAATGTTACTTAAATAGTAACTTTCTAACTAGTTAGTGCCCAGCTTTAAATTTATACAACACTAAAAGTTTACCGATCAACCATTGTCCATTATTTCTAGTTTTCTGCCAATCTCTTGCTGATATATCTTGAGCAATAGTGTATCCAAATACATATTTGTATGCATCGTCAATACCTACATTCTTACATGTACTTCCAATGACTACAGCCATTTCTACTTCCCAATCTAGTGCCTAATAATCATTAAAATTAATAATAAAAAAAAAAATAATAACACATGTAATAAAATTGGAAAATTTTACAGCTAGCTATTTACTTTTGATTTTGATGAATGCCTTACAGCATCATTTGGGCCAATGATTGTACTTGGGAATTTTGAAAAAAAAAATGGCTCTATTGGATATGGTTTATTTTGTTCGTCACAATGTCCTTTGTAATTCAGCCCCACACATATTACCTGAAACACATTTTAATACATCATTTATGAAATAAAAATAAGTAGTAGGTATAGGAATAACAATTATAATTATTATAGTAATATTACTTTATCTGGTTTAGTAATGCACGGTAGTAATTCGACCTGATTCAACCGCAAAACTTTCTTTTTTTCTTTAACTATCCTTCAACATAAAAACATAGTATATAATTAATGGTTATATTGTACCTATTAATTAGTTATTTTAAAACCAACTTTTCAATTCTTTCAATTGAGTATTCACTGTGTAAAAACGATACCATATCAACAGGAATAGTCGGATCTGCACCGTTCAAGCTCACTAATGATTCACCGTCATTGAGCTGAATACCCAGTCCTCGATCACAACCGTCTCTGTATTGAACAAATCGCATTGCTTGGTGATTAGTGCTGCTAAGACTTCTGATATTGTTCTGTATTACAATAGCAGTTTTTAGAAATCTACATGAAATACGGCTAAAACTCATACTGGTTTTAATGTGAATTAAAATTATAAATATATTTATATATATTGTTCGATGTTTAAATAAAAATTATAGCAGTATCTAATATTCTCAAGTACTCAAGGTACCTAATTGGTTTTTTTTTTACAATTTCCTCATAAAAAATATCGATAATAATTATCATTTAAATAGGTAATGTCGGTAATCATTAATCAGTAATAAATATTAGCATTTTCGTGTTATCTACATTATTATCTGGATGTACTGTAAACAAATATACATACATATATGAATCAATGAAAATAATATTATTATTAATTATATTATTATCACTACTGCAGTACTGCATTATGATGATATTATTAAGAGTACCTATATTATGTTATTTGTTCATTGTTGGCCGTTCATAGCCGGCAATAATTAATATTTTATTAATGGATTAGCTACTTATTCTTAATGTACTTTGTACACAAAATACTTGACCGAGTTGACTGGTTAGTGGCTAGGGGCTTCGTGAGTCGGCACTCGAGAGTTAATCGGTGTCGATAAAAATTGCTTTCAATTATCTGTAATTTATATTAAATTATTTATCAAGACTAATTATGATATTCGACATTTCCATTGGATATTATCTCACTGTAGAGCCACTCTCACATTTCATAATATAATTTATATAAAACTTTGATTTTTTTATATTAAAATATTACGTTGAACGATAAACGGATGATAATTTAAATTGTTTATTTCTTAACGTGTGAATACATAGGCAAGCAATTATTACATAAAAATAACTTTGTTATTAGTTAGTTATTAGTTATTACTTACATATTTGTTGTAATTAATAAAGAGTTGCCTACACTACACGACATTTATTTCATTAAATATGTGCTCACTTTAACTTTTCTTCTATTAATTTAATGCATTAAATGTTTGATTATAATACTGTTAACACTTTAACTAACTGTGTCATTGTGTAATAAACATTATTATATATTGTGTATATATAATTATATTAACATATATGTGAGAGTTAAAAATCTATTATTGACTGAATTAACTCAAACTACCTTTAATATAATTGAGTTTTATTTGTATTTGCATTTTATTCAATTACATTTATAACATTCATAATTATGGATCCAAAAAAACCAACTATAAAAGTGGGAATATTAACAAGTAAGATGTATTTTAATATTTTAATACTCCGCAGTCCTATACTAAATTCATACTTTTGAACCTACTTTCAGTTAGTGATACTAGAACACCATCAAAATCTAACATTGATTCTTTCGACTCCAGTGGTCAAGATTTAATTAAATTGATCAATGATTCGAATGTGATTGAATCGGCTAAAGTTGTAAAGTATGATTGTGTCACTGATGATTTTGATCAAATTCAGGTATTGCTTTATATGATCCTTCTGACAATACTAATTAGATTATAAAAGAAAATGTGGCTGTCTATCATTATGCAGTTTACAGTACATTTTTCTATTACAGAGTTAAATTCATTAATTTCCTATGCAAAATGTTGTGTTTTGTTTATAGAGGATACTTTTTATAATTTTTAGTATTAACAATAATTTAATAAGTGTTTTTCGTTGTAAATAAATTTAAACGATCATCTAAAATATATTTTCAAATCATTAAGAAAGTTTTGCAAATAATTATTTGTATTCTTCTTCCGCTTGCTTCATTATGATTTCAGTAGATAAAATAATACTAATTAAGATAATGATTAATACTAAGAAGTACAAGTCTACATATTAATACTTGCACCAATAGTTAAAGTACAGCCAAAAATCAATAGAATTTTGTTTTGTTAAATATAAATTATTTCAGATTGTTTTTGTTACTTAAACACCTTTTATTTTTATTATTAAATATAATAATATTTATTTTGTTCCTATACTGCTAATTAATATATATACTTGACTAAAGACATTCTTTTAATAAAATTTTCATTAATATTTTTAAACATAAATGTTTTTCTTAGGCGAAAATGACCGAATGGTGTTCTGAAAGAAAAGTGGATGTTTTGCTGAGTACAGGTGGTACAGGTTTCAGTGAAAGGGATGTAACTCCTGAAGCAACTCTTGGACTTGTTCAAAAACTGACACCTGGTATAAGCCAAGCAATAATGAACGAGAGTTTAAAAATCACTCCAATGGCAATGCTTTCACGGTATAATTATATATAACTACAATTATTGAGGAAAATGTATTAATAGGTTTATAAATTGATTTCATTTTTAGAGCAGTGTCTGGAATATATGAAAAAACTCTGATTATTAATTTACCAGGAAGCAGTAAAGCAAGTAAAGAGTGTTTAGGTGTGGTTGCCAGTGCCATACCACATGCTGTGTCATTAATTAAAGATGAAAAAGAAATTTCAAAACAATTTCATGAACAATTGAATTTCACATCTAATAACAAATTAAGAATTCCGGTACGTTAAATTACCGATTTTAATATTTTATCATCTAAATCGTTTAAAACTTTTTCTTAAGCGGATATCAGCCAACTATTTGTTTTTTCTTCTTCTGACCCATGTAGAATATAGTTAATATGCATTCAGCAGATCAAATTTTATGTTGTTAGCTTTAACATTGTATTGAAATTAACATACTATCAAACTTTAAGGTAAAAATATTTTCAATGTAATCTTATAGGCTATAGCCTTTTATTAAAATTTTTATTTTTAAGATTAATTGTTTCATATTATAGTTAATTTTTTTTTTGCTCTTTTTGAGCAATGTGAGGCATTTTTCTGAAACTTAAGATTTTAAAGAAAATTTGTCCACAAAAAACAATTATTTTTATTATTAGTGGGTTTTTGTCGTAACTAAATTTCAATGAAAACTGAAATTTTTTTATTTATATTTTTCTTTAATAATTTTTTTTTACTGTAAATTAAACTTTATAAAATTTTTTTTACAAATATTTTTTGGGGCATTGAAGCATTTTTTTTTTTTTTGGTTAATTTTTGATACTTTTTTAGAGCATTAACATTCTAACTCTATAATCATATCATCATATTATTTTAATGATACAAAAATAAATAAATAATATAACTTGCTTCAAATTAAAATATCAATGAAAACCTCTAAGATGCCCCAGATAATTATCTTCTTAATTTAAAAATAACAGTAAAATAGATTATTGTGAAATTAAAAATATCAACGGTTTATGTTTGTAAGACAGAGAGTTAGATAACACACTAACGTCCTCTTAATGGTATTTAGTACTGTTTTTATTGGTAAATTATAAATATTAGTTATTGTCTTAAAATGTTTGATTTTAAACTGTAATCTATTTAGGATTGTGTGACAAAAATTGCATGTCGACACAGAGAATCACAATTTCCAAAGATTTCCATGAAATCAGCTTTAACCATTTTAAAAGAACATGCTGTCATACAATATACGGAAAATAATAAAATTAAGTTAGTGTTACAGATATCTTTTATTATTTAGAATTGTATTTATATACAAGTTGATGATTTTTTTTAAACATAGGTTCTTAATTTTAGTATTAATTTTTGCATATTATATACAATAGTAATCTTTGGTAAAATTTAATAGGTACCCTACTGTTTGGATTTTTTCTACTGGTGATGAACTTGAAAGCAATAAAGATTCACATGGTGGTTATATCAGAGACACTAATTCTGTTATGATAAAACAAATATTGGAACAAGACAACTTTAAGGGACAGATATTCAATTATGGAATTATAAGAGACAAGTGAGTAAAAGTAAATATGTGTAATGTATCTGTATTTTTATGTTAATACAATTTTTTTGTTTTATTAAGTTGGAATGATCTTTGCAAACATTTTGAAGAAGCATTTAATAACGCAGATGTATTAGTGACCAGTGGAGGAGTATCGATGGGCGAAAAAGATTTGATCAAACATGTGCTCAAAGATCACTTTAAAAGCCAAATTCATTTTGGAAGAGTTAATATGAAACCTGGGTAATTATGTTAATAGTTAGTTGCCTATACGGTTATATGTATAAGATAAAAAAATGATGACACTAATATTACAGAATGCCAACTACCTTTGTGACACTTATGTTTAAAGACAAAAAGAAATATATATTTTGTTTGCCTGGTAATCCTGTGTCTGCTGGTGTATGTACACATTTATTCTTATTACCATATTTGAGATCAGTATCTGGAAAAGAATTAATTGTCCATTCCTTAAAAGCAAAGGTAAATAATATGTGTTCAGGTATTATTTATTATATAGTGGAGATTCTTATTTTAAAATAATTTATAATAACATAACTCATGCATTTACAGTTAACACATACTATCAAAGGATTGGATATTAGACCAGAATATCGAAGAGCATTGCTTAAGTATGAAAACGGAGAACTATACGTGTCTTGTTTAAGTAATTATTAATTTTTAACTCATTAAATGTTTGAAAATATTAAGTAAATAGGTATCTTAAAAAAATATAAAAATTCATAGCAGGCGTATTGTCTATAATGTTCCAATTTTAGGTTAGTATAAACATAACATTTTATTCTTTTTTATTACTTTAATTTGAGTTTTAAAGGAAATGATTAGTTAAAATGTGTATTAATAAACAAACGTTTTTAATTAAGAGGACGCCACCCCACATGTGTTGTCTCCGTCTTTAAAGGGTACAAAGTAGCAAAAACTGTTTTGAGCAAAATAGAATCACTCAAGCTATAGTTTAAGCTAAGCATTTAAATGTTCACACTATAAACAAGAAAATATTTACTGTGTAACATTTTTTTTATTTTTTCAAAGTATCAAAATACAAGAAAAGTTCTTATTGTTTAAAAATTCATTATTATTTATTTCAAACTTGAATAACTTTTTTTGTATTTGTGGTATCAAAAAAAAATAAAAACAATATTGCACAGTAAATGTTCTCCTCTTAATAGTATGACAATTTGATTGCTTAGCTTGGAGTACAGCTTGAAGGGTTATATTTTGTGCAAAACAGTTTTGTTATATTGTTCGTTTGTAAGATGGAGACGACACATATGGGTCAGTCCTCTTAAAGACAAATATAATTGTGCTAATATAAAAAAAATCAAGTTCAATTTTCTTTCACATTGCCTTAAAGTTGATATTTTAGTTAAATTGATACTTATTACTCAATATTATATTATGAATTATCTACTTAATCACGAGTGTGTTGAAAGTATAAAGTGTCGCTAATTTAAAACTGTTAGCAAGTTAACCAGTTCAATGATCTATATATATATAAATTAATGTCTGTCTGTATTCCACTTATGCCTTCCTAAACTGTTCATAAATGCGATAAAACTTTGGGAAGTTATTGTGTACAATCCTGTTAATGCATACTACATTCAATCCCTAAATGGGAAATTGTGGGTTATAATATATTATAAAATAGAAGTCTCTTTTTTGTACTTACAAGCATATCAACAAATTTTAATACGGTTTCCACTAATAGATCTATCGAGTCATGGGGAAGGTTTTAATGTATAATTTATCTTGGAAAATTAATTGGGTGGCGGAAAATCAATATCTATATCAATTCAAAGTAACTTTTTTATTAAGGACATACTCAGGAATGGCTAGACTAATTTGGCTGATTTTTTTGTTGTGTTTGTAACTGTCAGGACACTGTATGAAAGAACATTTTAGAAAAATTTACAGGAGAAGTAGGAAATCTGGATGAATAAAATACAACAGTGACGCCAATTATCCAGTAAAAATATAAACTACTTAATAACATATTCTTGTTTATTATAAGGTCGTTTTAGTTATTACTTATTATGATTGAATATAATATTAGACTGATATTTTATAGTTGGACAAAACCATATAACTTAATAAAAATGGTATTCTTAATGTTAATTTTTCTACTTTTGTCCTGGGAACCTTCACATGTGTATTTTAAAGACTGTGCAAATATAACATTCATAATTAAGTATGCACTGGGGCATAAAGTATTGTGGGGGCTGAAAATGTATTTATAATTTCATATTTCATAATCACAAGCTTGTCTCTCCCAAAATGATGGGCGGGATGGCTATAATGTAATATAATCAAACGTGTCCTGACTGACTCACTGACTGATATCACAACTATGATAGCTTGAGGCTTGCAATTTTCACTGTATCTTCATATCACCATGTAAGTCTGCACTAAGAATATATTCAAGATGGCATTTTTTTGTCTTGAACACCTTTACATCAAAATATATCAAATAACGAATTGAACAAAGTTTATATAAGAATATAGAGTTAGCATTTTTATTTTTAACTGGAAAAAAATCTTTAGCATGAGCAACTCCGGTCAGAACAGCTAGCATGTCATAAGACACATACCTATACAATTAAAATAAACAGAATAGCCTATAATCCTAAGAATGGAAGGATCGTACTCTTGAATAAATTTAGTAATAATATAAATACTATCATTGATTATAAATACTTATACTTATTTATAATCAACGATACTAGTAATAATAAATTTAAAATCTAATTTTTTTATAATGTATCATAGCCAACTATCAACAAAGTAGCAGACTTTTGAGTTTTATCGACTCTAACTGTTTGCTCCAATTGCCTTCGTCGTCAAAAACAGCAACTGTTGAATCAAATACAATTATGGATGTTATATTAATTAAAAGTATAGAAAATACATATATTGCACCTATATTACAAGAAATGAACTTATGTATTGAGGTAGAGAACTTATAATTCTGATTATTATTTGTGGTGGATGACCTAACCTAACCTAACCTAACCTATTTAATGGATTATATATTATGTTATTAGCTATCTCAAATCAATAGTACGTATAATAAATAATAATAATTTTTATTTTTAGAGAAGAAGAACATAACACTGTGTATGTTCATGCTTTTAGTTTAGAATAGTATATAACTTTGAAGCTTTCACCCTATATGCCAAAAATTACATTGCCAGACACATATTAATGTACTATCATATAATATAACTAGCTGAATTACCCGGTGTTGCGCGGGAAAACTCCTTTTAGATGTAAAACGCTGTGAAAGCAATGTCTTTTTAAGTATAAATTGTATAATATTTTTAAGTGTAGCCACATCGGTCTAGAATTGAAGTAGTGTTGTTTGGACACCCCCTTCCATGAAGCCATCCAATTTTTGTAAATTAATAACCATATTACTTATTGTATAGTATAATAGCTGGTTTACCCGGCTTAGTCCGGGAGGTATTCAACTATTTTATATAAAAAAAAAATGAGGATGAAAATCTACTATTTTCTTATATTGTACCTTTTTTATTTATTAATTTATTTCCTATACAGCTTTGTTCTGCTATGTCTATCAATAAGGCACAGGGACAGACACTGAAGGTTGCAAGCCATGACATCACGAATCCCCGTTTTACCCACGGACAATTTTATGTTGCTTGCTCCCGTATCAGCTCGGCAAAAAATCTATATGTGTTTGCGCCTCACCAAAGAACAAAAAATATTGTTCACAAAGAAGTATTATAACTTTAATAAAAATATGTACAGAGTTAATATATAAATTAATAAATAAAAAAGGTACAATATAAGAAAATAGTAGTTTTTACAACCTCATTTTTTTTATATAAAATAGTTGAATACCTCCCGGGCTAAGCCGGGTAAACCAGTTATTATACTATACAATAAGTAATATGGTTATTAATTTACAAAAATTGGACGGCTTCATGGAAGGGGGTGTCCAAACAACACTACTTCAATTCTATAAAGACTGATGTGGCTACACTTAAAAATATTATATGATTTACATTTAAAAAGACATTGCTTTCACAGCGTTTTACACCTAAAAAGAGTTTTTCCCAGGCAACGCCGGGTAATTCAGCTAGTATACTATATATATAGTATATAGTATATATTTTATACTATGTACTCCAATAGCTATTATATACAACCATTGTATCGTTAATTGGTTTGTATCCTATTATAAATTACTCTATATAATTATTCATTATTCTTTAGTTTGTAATATTTATTTATTCGTATGGTCATATTAATACATTAACAATACAGATTGATTTTTATTTGTAAAAAATGCCACGACCAAGGCGACAGAATATAGGCCGACGATCACGTAATTATATCGCCCAACAGTATATATTGGAGTACATCTATGGCATAACTGGTCATCGTTCATTGATTACCTATTGTTTTATATTAAAATTTATTCTATGTATTCGGCGGACGAAGTAAACGCAAACCGCGAAACATTAAGAGGCCATAACTCTGGAACCACTTATCGCACGGCGTACAAACTTCACAGAAACCATCTGAATACTAATCTCAATATGTCCTGAAATTTTTATTGAAATCGGTTTGGTATATCTTGAGTTATAAAATTTATTCATAATGTACACTAATTTATATATATATATAGATAAACATTTTAATACCTGTAAATACAATTCAGATTTTGAAGAAGCATAAATAGTAAAAACGAATTTAATATAATTTAAATTAGGGAGTCAATGAATAAAAAATTCAATTTATTAATACTATTACACATTCACGGTATCTTAAGAACTTAAAGACTTAAGCTATGACTCAGTTATATTATATTTCATACTAATCATACTTTATGGAATATTAGAGCATGTAGTTATCATATTAGTCACTTTGAATAACAATTATTGTGAGCCTCGTATGGGTTATGGGCTGGTTACTTTTAATTTGAATTAACACGAGGACAATGCATGTATTAACTAAAAAAAATAAAAAATAAATATTTTATAATATAATAATTATTATTATATTAGTTAATTATCTACAACTAAGATTAACACAAAATTCATTTTTATATGGAAATTAACTTTCTAATATATCTCAAAATTAATTATAATAAAAATAAAATTTCTTGTAAAATGAAAAAATCAGAATTAGAATTGTTTAATATTAAATGGGTTTTATTTTTTATTAAATTCTATTTAGATAATCAAGAAACAAGTCATTTCAGGCAACACAAAAAATGAAAAACCACTTCTCTATTCATGTATAGAAGATGTACTGCATTTGATGACAGAAAATATATTTGTTGCTAAAACTGAAATTATACCAAATGAGTAAATTTACAATTGCCTATTATTATTTAATTTATTAGATATTAGTAATCCAAACATATTGTTGGTTAACGCAATAAAAATTTTTATTAATTATTTTATAATGGTATCATTTTCAGTTTTGCTATGGGTTATGTTTTATATTCACCCATTAATTCTTCTGAAAATTTACCACCGTTTCAAGCCTCTGTAAAAGATGGGTATGCTATTAAGTATGAAGATTATTGGCTTCAAAAGTCTAATTTATTTAATGTTGTACAAGTGTCTGTGGCTGGTACTGTTGTAAGTATAAATTTTTCTTTCAATGTAATGTCTAAACATGATATATTATATAAAAGACTAAGCCCTGTTGTGGTACGGTGGTTGGCCACAGTCACTTACATGTTCTAAGGTCAAGCATTGGCTAGCATTGCAAGCTTTCAGATGGGTGACCATCCAGGTTTTAAGTGACAAATTCTCGTCCCATAGACACATGTTCCAAACCAACTATACCCCTTCCCCCCATAGTAAAACCCAGCTAATAACCACGCAGTTGATGAATTAAAAAAAATAATATATATAAAAGACTGTTTGTTACTGTGTTTAATATTTCTTCAATTTTTAACGTTTTATAGCCCGGTTGTCAAAAACAGATAGGACTAGGAGAATGTGCACGTATTAGTACTGGTGCACCTATACCACCAAGAGCCAATTGTGTAGTACAAGTTGAAGATACATCTGTTGAAACTAAGTCATCTGATGGAAAAGTTGAAATTACTATTGCTATATTAAAAGAACCTAAACTCTTTGAAAATATTAGGTAAGCTTAACTCAGTATAATTATTTACCTATATACTGCAATCACATAGTAAAATCACTCATTTCATGAACTGAATATCCAGATAGTGAAATTTGTCCAGAATATAAACTGAAGAAAATATATTATACGAGCATCTATTTCACGAAATAGACAATATTTATATTGTATGTTGTGTGAAATTATTATAAAACAAATTTATTTTTAATTAATCATACATATATTATTTATAAATAAACTGTGCCTATGTTTCTATATCTTTATGAACAAAATTATTATTGGATTGATTTAAACAATTATTAATTATGACAGTAAACAATTAATCTATATATATATAAGAATCTAACTTGATTTTGGAGACGAAGGAAACCGGTTTTGAACCCTCATTATAATAATAATAATAATGAACTAATTACCAATTATTTTCATTTATCCACCCATAACGATGTCTGTTTCTTTTTTTTTAATCGTTGTATTATTTGTATAGCCAAAAAATAGTCTTATGTTTTTAAATTAAATTATAAAAAAATAATTTCTTCCGGAGGATGTCGGGCAGCTAGTATTATATAATGAACTATATATTTTTGTCCATAAAACAGTACACAAAAGTATAGCTTATTATGGTATAATTTATGCTAAATAACATTGAAAAATTGTTTTATAATAATTACACAATGTATACACTATAGGTATTGTCCATTTCATGAAATGGATGTCCATATAATATATTTTTGCCAAAGTTTACAATCTAGATGAATTTTAGTATCTGGATATCTAGTGTCTGAAATGAGTGATTTTACAGTTGATGCAAAATATTATACACTATTCAGAATTAGAAACAGGGATTAGCTAATGTATTAGTATTTAAATTTGTAAGTACAGATTTTAATTTCCTTAAAAACCACATAAAACAAACATACTCCAGTACATTTTAATACAGTAAAACCTCTGTACAATGGAATCATTTGGTACCAACTAATTTTTTCTTTATAAAAGAGATTTAGTTATAGAGACACTAAAATATATGGGACTCTTGTTGTTTTCTTTTGTAAGGAGGTTTCTGCCTTGTAAGCTACCGTTATTAAGATGTTTTACTATATTCAGTTATTTGATTAAAGATTTATAATTCAAAAATAAAATAATATTTTATTCTTTTAGAAATATTGGTTCTGACATTTCTGTAGGACAACGTCTTCTAGATCAAAAAACTGTTCTTGGTCCCTTTGAAATAGCTTTGCTACGTTCTGTGGGTTGTGAAAATGTGGAGGTGTACAAGTAAGTTTTAATAAAAAATAATGTACATTGCAGACATAAATATATTTACCTAAAAATATTTTGAATAGATGTCCATCAATACACATTGTTGCATGTAATGATAATTCGGCTTATGCAATATCTCATAAATTAAAAAATATGTTGAAAGTGCCTGACTTTAAAGGAAATATATTTAGCCAATCATTATGTAAAAAGTTAGTAAATATTTTCGAACTGTTTTGTTAAGTTCTTAATTGAAATTCCAATATTTTCTATCAACAGCTTAACCAAATCTCCTGGACAATTTGATTTTGTATTTGATTATGATAATCCTATTATTATATTTTGTGGAAATGTTAATGAATTTTGTTATGATAATGTTGAATCACATATTCATATTAGTAACGATACACGCAAGTAAGTATAAAAGTGCATTTAATAAATTATTTTAATAAATCTGAAAAGTGTTGATAATGCATATAGATTAATTATAAATGTAAATTACCCTACAGGATTTCACTTGGATTTGGCAGAATGTTGATAGGAACTGACGAGAAATCAGTAGTATTTTTACACATTAATACATGTGACTCAGAGTCTATCTATAACTGTGTACATTTATTTATATTGCCTTTTTTGAGATACATTACTGGCAGAAAAAAAATTATTTCTTCAATAAAAACAAAAGTAATTGTTTTAATTCAAAACCAATGATAGTTTCCATTGAGATAAAATATCTATTTTATAATTTTCAGTGTACTATGTCTTCAGATTGCTTACCTACAGACAAATTTGAAAAAGCCGAACTTCATTACGAAGATGGTGAATTTAAGGTTACTTGTTTCACAAGTAAGTTTAATGACTACATATTATAATATTTTGTTCAAAACTAATATGTGTTAGTTAATATAAAATTATTAAAATAAAATAAATTTATTACCACGATTCTTTTATAAGTATGTTTAATATTGAGAATATGCACTCATAATTTGATAATGTTAACAATCTTAAATTAAGTTTCTATAATGTCTGTTCAATAATCAAATCATTTGTTGTTTAGGTATTGTAATAGCAGTGTTTGAGAAGTTACATTTTTTTGTAATTCAATTGCATTGAAATTTACTTTAAAAATTGTTATTAAATTATTTTAAGTTACTTTTTTTTTTTATTTGGTCAAATTATATTACCTACTTTTGGGTTAAAGAACTAACTTAATTTACAAATAAAGTTTATTTTTGATTTTTAACTTTCAGTTATATAACTAGAGCGTAGTAATTATGCTGTCAATACATTAACTAAAAATAGCAACAATCATCGATATAAAATTATATATTATGTGTATTTAAGAACCACTTCGAACAAAATATGTATCATATTATTTTATTCTTTATTTTTATTTTTTATTTGTTTTAAACAACAATGTATGTTCCTAATCATTACTTATCAAAAATCAATTTTTATTTTTTAAATAGCTATATAAAAATGTTTCTGTCCAAAAATCAAACTTGTATTGGGTATTTTTATAATATAATTGCATTGGTTCTTAAAATATTTTAAACAATAATAAAGTAACTAGTAATTTAGTAATTGTGCTATACTCCGTGCCACTAGAGAAGCAACCCGTGTTCCAACCAAATTGCGTTTGAATTCAGGCATTCTCCATATATTTAAGGGACAAAGTGGGGGAAACGGAGCCTAATAACGCTCACTGCCGTTAGTCTGTATGCGCGAAACGAGTACCTTCTCTTGTGGCACGGTGAATACAAGAAAGGAACTTAAATTACCTACAATAAAATGTAACTAAGTTACTGTTACATAAACAGTAATTTTGTTACAGTAACTTGTAACTTAAGTTAAGTTATTGGCCAACACTAATTAATTGTTACTTAATTTAAACTTAGAAATACACAAATGCAATACAGTAATATTAATGACCTTAATAACTTTTATTTTTGTTTTAGTGAACCATCAAAGTTGTCTTGTAAATATGCCATCTTCGTCAGATGAAATTAATATTAAGTTGAAAGGGGGGGAAAAAACTGAATTAGATGCTATCATCACTGAAAATTCAAATTCTTATTTTATTCATTACTAATTTTTTCTTTAAAATGTTATCACTTAAAATATATATTCTACTTGATTACAATAGTTTTAAATGTTTAATCTATATACTTACTTATCTATTATAATATATTATGTTGTCAAATTATTATATTATGTTATTATAATATATTATAAGATATGCCATAAAATGTTAATTAAACAGCATGCTAGATTTTAAGTTTAAATGTAATTTAAATTTTTACATTCATAATGCAAAATATATAATATTTATATTTATTATTCTATTAACTAGATTTATGAATACCTCTTGGTAAAAATTAAAAGTAGAAAAGTTTATGAACATCTTAGTACAAGAAAAATATTAGCTTTATCTTGTATAGATACTCTAGGGATATATATAACAAAAATGTCTAATCTGTACAATTTTTGATTTTTTAAGCAAAGGAGCAGATTGTAAGTTAAACAAGGTTAATTTTTTTAGGTATACTTTCTATCTTAGCAATCAAATTTAAGTATAAATTATTAGGTATTATTATTTGGTAATAGATTTTATGATTTTTTTTACGAATTCTATTATTAGATGAAAAGAATTAAGTGAATCAGTTTCATTTAATAAAAAACTCTAAAGTTTGATGGTTTGGTAAACTTTTGCAACTATACTCCTGAACATCAAAAAGATAGTAAAGGTCTTAATGTAGCAAGCATTTCAAGGAAAATGGGTTTAGACCTTGGCATTTTTTTCTGGAGTAAAGGTTGTGCTTTAAGTACAGTGTTTCACAAGATTGTTATTAAGTGTTATACTTTTGGAGAAGTCTGGTTTCCATGTAGATGCTATTAAAATTGATGGAGCTACATGGAATCAAAGCAAGTGGTCAAAGTTTGGAATTTTGTCTGAAAATGTTAGTTGTGTACATATTTATGACTCATCGAAAAGATTATGATTCTTATCAAATTTTCTCCACCCCATTCAAATTTTAGAAATTGCATAGTGAAGAATTGAATATTGGGTAGTATAATTTTTTTTTTTTTAATATTAGATCAAAGTGCAATGATTTGTTTAACTTAATTTCTATTTATTTATTAATGGTTTTATTTTTAATAACTAATACCAAATCATATTTATCTTCTTTGACTACCACAGTAATATATTATAATACACCTAAATATTTAAGTATAATATCACAGTTAATATTAAAGACTTATATATTATTATTATTTATTAGGTAAATTAATTTATATGTAGGTATGGTAAGACTATATTCATTATGCATAAATATGTTCTTATTTGTCAAAAATCAATTAATTAAACAAGTCATTGCACAGTGCGAAATTTTGATCTGTAAACTTTATAGATACATTATGTTCACTAAAACGTAATCATATAATTTAATTTAACTTTTCTCGTTGTACTGAATAACAGACACCAGAAGATAAAAAAGTTAAGCTAAAACATTGGGATGCCATAATTTCTTCTGAAAATCGTTTAGGTTTTAGTTTAAAAATATGTTCTGGTTTAAGTAATGATGAAATACATCCTAAACCTTATCAAACAATGCATATAAAATAATATATATTTATGTTATAAGGCATAGATTTTTTTTTAATCATATATATTTATGTTAAAAGGTATAACATTTTTTATAATAATATATATTATTTATGTTAAGGTATACAATTTTTTATAATAATTTAGATATGTGATCTATAATAGTATGTTTTGTAGTAACAAAAAATGTTTTATTGAAAGTGGTTAGGTTAGGTTCAATCTGTTTTATTTTCAACTTTAACTCTGTTTATTTTCATTTTTATACAAGAATTTCTTAAGAAAATGTCTATAACTCTTTTGCAACAATAATATGCGCCCTCCACTCATATTGCACTTATTGATTACAAATTCCTTATTTTAGTTTTATAAATGACCTTGTGTGCCCCCACACAAGCATGCTCAGTAGAGCCCATAGGTAACCTATTCTTTGAAACAAACACTTAATAATAATAAATTTGATTTGTTGATTATTAAGGTGCCCTTTGCCAATGTACACTACAGTAGTAATGATTCTATGCTGTTAAATTTACCAAATTTTAATACAAATAATTTCAACTAATAAATACTCCATTATTTGATTTTTGAAATGAGTAAAAATTGGAGATCAGTGTATCCTGTAGGAAGTCTTTCTGTCTGATAAAAAAATAATTATCAAAGTCCGACATTTTTACAAGGGCTGTGTTTTTCTTGTGAAGTCATTATTGTTAATATCACACACAGTATGTCCATATCAACACCTTCTAACTAGGTATTGAATAGTAGATGAGTGGAATTGTATAATAATGAAGGCGGCAACTAAAATTCAAATTTCATATAATTCAGAAAAAGTTATAAAATCGGTCCACTTTAATTTAATATTGTACCTAGATACCAGTGTACCACTAGCCGTAAGACCAAAAAATATAATCAAAAAAGTTTAGATACCTAATTAAAATAAGGTAGATTTTGTCAGACGAGAAACTGATGAATGGCGATGTGGGAACGCCAGTACATACTAGATTATAAAAAAACCAAATAATTTTGAATTAGCCACACAAGATTACCAGATAAAAGTTTTATCGTAATGTGACTATCAAATGGTTAATCAAACTAACCTACCTAACCATTGCAAATAAATTATAATGTTAATCGTCATTTGTTAATAGCTATCAAGTTACAGCAGTAGTGTCCCAATATTATTCTGTTCTAGTAAGTACCCCAGATGCTCAGTACCATTCAACATTGTTCAGGATCTCAGATTTCCGGAATCAAAAGACAAATAATAACTATAAGTTTAGTAGAAGTAAGTTTTCTTATAAAATTAAAAACGCCGATATTTTAAAATGAATTAATGATATCGATGCGAGGCATCAAATATATTGATACGTCTACGGATGTGGATTGTGCGATGCCAGTTCCAGAATTTGGACTATTTGGAGTAGGAGTAAGCGACGCGTTAACGCGTTATCGTTATCACGTATCACTTAAGATATAGCCCATGAAGCGTCTGTGGATTTATACATATTTACATAATATTTTAGTCACCACGACGACCTGTTGTTGTGGCTGCCAACCACGACAGCACATTCAAACGACGGTGGGTCACGACGCGTCGTCCATGCGACACTCGTGTCACACCTTAAAAACATAGAACAGACGTCGGGTTGGTTATAAAGTCGTCTGGGCCATTTGCACCGAGTTACCGAGATAACGGTCGACGAAACGAAGCCGCTGTCACTGCGATTATTTTCTCCGGTGCTTGTACTAAGGTCTAGTTGTCGTAAGGATTAGCTTCTTTCTCGCCGTTGACGCTCTGTCTCAGGTCTACAACTGCGCCCCAAGTCGGATTGAAATCTCGACTCCAACGGTAGTATCGTCAAAGTTGTTTTTGTATGGTAATGATAGATCCTAGCCGTACGCTCTGAAATTCCGGTCGATACCGTGACGACACCTTTTTGTCTGACGTGATCTGAAGTGTCCGTCATGCCCAAGTCACTAAAACTCGATAGGTGTCTGCCATCGACATCGTCTGCGTCTGGCGTGCTGTTGCCCGATCACTACGTCGAGAACGATCCAATCATACAAACAATTCTTGAATTCAAGGCATCAGAATGCAAATTGTCCAGGCATGAGAAACTGGTGAAGCTATCCAGTAAATCCTCCTGTCAGGTAATATAGCTCTCATCACGTCAACCCAAGTTGGTTATCCTTTTGAAATTGTTTTCATCCAAAACTGCCCTAACCAGTGCTGTAGACAGGAGCTTAATATGGAGGGAGGGGTTTATCATAATAATTATATATTATATAATTAATTAATTAATGTAATAAATACAATAATATACTTTGAATGCTGTATGGGGGGGGGGGGGAGCTTCTACCCCCTCCCCTTGTTTACGGCCCTAGCTCAATCCTCTTTTAATTTCTTTTTCAGACTTAAGAACGATGTCAATGCTTATGTTTTAATCTTAAGTCATCTTCATTTTGAGTAAAAAAACAGTCCAATATTGGTCAAACATCTTTTCATGCACCTATATATTTGTTGATTTATATTTACTTATTTCTAATATATTTGTTTTATTTCATCCTTAATTATACTTGCTATAATACCTGCTTTTAAAATTGTGTATATATAAATTAATAAGAATTAGAAAGGATAAAAAAACATATTTACTTATGCAATTACTGTACTGTGTCAACAAGTTAAAGTTTCTCAAGAAGTAGTTAATTTTATATTACATTTAACTTAATTTTTAGGTTTCAACTTGCCAATGTAGTGGATGGCGAGGTAGGCGTGATAATCGTTTGATGTCTTCAACTTGCACAAAATCTGGTTGTAGTCATCCTTTATGTAAGTAAAAGTTTAATGATTAACTAGTTAAAGTATAGTATAGTTACTGCATTCTTCTTAAATAACTCTAAAATATGTAGTTATAAAATGATGAAAATGTTATTCAAGTTTAGTATGATTATAATTTTCCTGACTTAAAGGCACACTTCTCAAACATTTTAAGAACTACTGACACTTATTGAATACAATTATAAAACGCAAATTACTTAATTGCTATTCTAACTCTACTAATTTTTCTTGAGTATGTATAATATAAAAAAATAATAGATAAATAACATTTGAATACTACTTTTTATACAACATATTAAACATATTGTGAATGTGAACAATGTATTTATAATATAAATATAATTGATTGAAGAATGAAAGTGGCTGGCCAATGGTCTCAATTTTGTCAATTGTATAGCTAAGATTATAAATAATAGATAAATACCTGTTCTTAACATGCAAATTTAACAAAATAAAATAAATCCAAAAGCTTGATAGGAAGTCTCAATAGTGGTACAATTTCAACCAATTTGAGACATATGTTCATACTAATATTAGACTAAGACTTAAATTAATTAAATATTTTATCAAATATGTAATATATTTAATTATTGTAAAATAATAGATACCTACTACTTATGCTACTTTTTGGTTATGTATAAAAGTATGATTGTATACATAAATAAATATAAATAATTTGTTCATAGATATTATTTTTTTATTTTTTAG